CCACAAAAATATGATTTAGCTCTGTCCACTTTGCTTCATCCATTACATTACATTAAACAGAGAAGCAACCTGGAATTAAGGAGAAACTTCCTAATAGTGAGGACAATTAACCAGAAGTGGGTGCTCCATCACTGGAGGTTTTTAAGAAGAGACTGGACAATCACTTGTCTGAGATGGAATACATTCTCCTGCTTGAGCGGGGAGCTGGACTAGGTCCCTTCCAGCTTCTATTCTAGAAGCCTTAACTAAGAAAAGATCTTTTTTACATATAACTAAGGATGGTGTAACCAACTCAGAGAGAAGAAAGGAGAATATAGGAAGTCCTTTGTCAGAGAACACATTATCTTTCTTTAAACATTTCCCTGAACTACAAAATCCAAGTCTAAATACAGGTAGTCCTTGACTTACGACCACAATTGAGCCCAAAATTTTTGTTGCCAAGTGAGACATATGTTAAGTGAGTTTTGTCTCATTTAACAACCTTTCTTACCACAATCACTGCCCTTGTTAAGTTAGTCACATGGCTGTTAAGTGAATCTGGCTCCCTCATGGACTTTGCTTCTCAGAAGATCACAAAAAGGGATCACATGACCCCGGAGCACTGCAACCATCATAAATACAAGCCAGTTGCCAACCATCTGAATTTTGACCATGTGACCGTGGGGATTCTGCAACGGTCGTAAGTGTGAAAAATGGCCATAAGACACTTTTTTCCGTGCCGTTGTAACTTTGAATGGCCCCTAAATGAAGCATTGTAAATGGAGGATTATATGTACAATCCCAAACTGTGAAGGCCTTCAAATTATCTTTCCAAATTATAAGTTTTTAATGTATCTGGAGAAGAAAATTTTGGGTATGTGGGAAGTAAATAGCATTAACTGCATCTGATTGTTTGGGATGAAATCCAATTTCATTTTTGTCCTGACTCTATCTATTGTTTTTAAAAGTGTGGCTCTTGCCATATCCCTTAAAGATAGATGGAGCTGTTGGCCTAGGGCAGTGGTGGCGAACTATGGCACGGGTGCCAGAAATGGCACTCAGAGCCCTCTCTGTGGGCACACATGCCATTGCCCCAGCCCCACCCCCCGTGGCCCACTCCTGACCATCAGCTCCCCTGGAGGAGCATCACCCCAGGTTCAGCCTGCGTGGAGCAGTGCAGCCAAGGACACAACAGCTGGGCAGAGGGGACAAGACTCCACCCTCATGCCCCATCGCGTACAGATGATGCTGTGGGGCACCGACAGAGGGTGTGGCCACCTTGATGCTGCTGGGCCGCCTGGGTGAACTGCTGTGGCAGGCTGTGGAGATGGTGGATGGCCCTGTGGGCAGGAGAGGTGGGGGCAGGGCAGAGATGAGGCGGTTTTGGGCCATCACTGACCTAGGGAAAAAGAAAATCCCTTTTCAGAACACTAGAGAAAGAAAAGCAAAAAAAAGTAAGGATACAAGTATTTCTCTCCTCCCAGTATGTTGACTCTTCTATTATTGCTGAGTTTTGTCTAAATAAATGTATTGAAGAACATAGCAATACATAGAAGCAGTTTTAATCGCTGACTTATTTCCACATGGAAAGTGCTTCACTTTGTTAAGGGAGGCATGGGTAAATAAAATACATGAAAAGCAAGATAATGAAGGATGAGGAGGCTAATTGGGAAGATGAGTGGCCAGCAAGACACCCACTATCCTCTTGAACACCTGTTTCCAAGCTAATTCATGCAGTAGCCTTGGTGTCTACAATTCAAGAAGCCACCTGCTGTTTTCTCAGCTTTGGAGTGCTATTTTTAAAGTGTTTGCCAGGAAGGGGAAAGTCAGTCAGATAAAGTGATTTTTATTACTAGTCAGGAAGACAGGTGGCCTGTAAGTTTCAGGTTGGAGAAACTCAATAAAAGTGCCTAAATCCCTTGGTAGCACCCTCAAGGCAACATGCCAAGCAAAGGATACATGAATCTGTCAATTTTGCTTTCTCCTGTACTTGGTCTTTCTTCTTGCTGATGCTTTAAATCTATTTGATGAAAACATTTGTTAATTTTGGCCATTAAACTCCTCTGAATTCTTACCTACTTGCACTGGTCCAGCTTAATCAATAAAACTATCCTCGATGAAAATAATCAAGTTGTAATCACCAAGGATTTCCAATCGCTGTTGAACATAGAGACAGATTCAGAACTAGAGCCCAAGAACTGAATACTGGAAACCGTTGCCTTTATGGATCAATCTGACAGTCTCTACTCCCTTCAATATTTTTTTTTTTTTGCCAATTCTGTCATTATTTATATTCCATTTATAAATGAAATTTAAATTTGTTTCTAAATCTTTGGTTTGGACAAAACTCCGCAGCACTTTTTCGTACGGCTGCTGATAAAAACAGGATCGCCAACATGATCGCCAGCATCTGATAACGGATATGGCACAAGAAGAAGAAGAAGAAATCTATGTTTTAAATAACCAAGTAAAACATTTGCGGATCAATAAATTTCTTTACCCGAGTGCTTGGTGTTCTCTGAGCTTAGTCTGAAGCAGCACCTTCACTATTTGCTGAAGATATTACCTAGTTAGGTAATAAAACATTTGCAAAAAAAACAAAAACAAATTCCAGGGGCTCCAATGACTCTACAGTTCAGTCCTAAGCTATAAATAGTCTCTTCTATTAATATGCTTATTAGCATGAGAATATTGCACAAAAGATATGGTAGAGAAGGATTTAAAAACCCAACCACAGGCCATTTTTATATGATACTCTGAACTACAATTTAACATATTTTAGAATGTTACATCTGAATTTAATTAATGGTTTAGCTTGCCTTGAGATCTCATGGAATTCAAGATTAGTGAGAGAGTGGATCTGGTCCATGACTGCAATAAAAAAAATTGAAGGATTCAACCTGGAAAAAAAATTACCCTCAAATAGAAGATTCCATAGAAGTCTCAGTAGATTTAAGATTGCAATGGGTCGGCTTTATGTCAAACCATTTCGGTATTCACCAGATTTTTTTAATTTTTTAATCTTCAGAAATCTATGAACTGCTATAGATCTGGCAAATTAAATTATGCTACTTGATGTTATCACTGACCCATAACCTAAGAACCATTGATGCTGGATAATATAAATAATAGAATATCACCCAAGTGGCTTTATCCATGTGTGTGTGGCTGAATGGAGAAACTTGGGAATAGCTTGGTATTTCCTGAAATTAAAGAAAATCTAGATTCTAGACAAAACCTATAGTGCCTATTGAGGGGGAAAATGTTACTAAACAAACTTAGTTGGATAGTACATGCAAATTCTGAAAAAAAATGAAAAATTGTGTTGAGTGGGGGGGGGGCAACCAAAATGAAGCCTGTGGACTTCTGAGTAGGAACATTCCAACATTTGTTATTGTGTTGTTTATAATTCTGCAACCGAAAGCAATAAAGAGCTAATGTGAAATACATCAAATAATGTTGCATTTTTGAAATGTTTCCTGCTTCTCCCAGAGATGCTACCAGGTGGGAAATAGTGGGTGAGCTGTTGCCTGCCAATAATGTAGAGTTTCCTAATGGAATAGAAAAATCTCATGCATTCAGGAGTAAAATGAATTCAATAATTACTTAAGGGATCCTTAGCTATTTGATTTAAGATACTCATAATGCCTGCTACTAAATAAAGCCACCAATTACTTCACCTGAGCATGGACTATATTTTACATGTTAAATGAAAGAGAAGACTAAATTCAGCAAATATACAAGTTAAATGACCATTGCTTTATTGATGACAACTAGGCCATAGCTGTGAAAAATAAAAATAATATCACTTTGGGAAAACAGAATAATTTGTACTAAGGTGATGGCTTGTCTCATGTCTCTTATCCAAATGAATGCAATGGGTAAGGGGTCCTTGGTGCTCTCTGAGCTTGGCTGTTTTTTGCGGATGTTTCATTACCCATCTAGGCACTATCACTGATGATGTTACTTGGTTTGGGTAATGTTTTCTGCAAGAAAACAACCAAGCTTAGAGAGAGCCAAGAAACATTCATTTTAGCTCTGAGCAACAAATATTCTCCTCTAATGGAATACAGTGGATATTCTGGATCCACGGTCAATTTTTGCCTTTCTTCCTTGTGTGCCTTTTCTATGTTTATCACCAGGACCTATATGGGACATATTATCCATAGACTAAAACAGGGATCCCCAATCCCTGCGCTGCGACCCATTCCCGGGCCATGTCGATTCGCAACTGGACCACACAAGCAGTGAGCCTGTGTGCACACAGGCACTTGACTTGCATGAACGGTGGGCTGGCATGCGTGCACACATGTGTGCAGCTGAATTTGTGCAAGTCAAGCTGAGCACGCATGTGTGCCAGCCTGCTGCTCACGCAAGTCGAGCTACGAGCACGCACGATGGCCCGCCACTCACACAGCCCAGTTCACCTCTCTCTCTCTCTCTCCATCAGGATGCCGAACTGCAAAGGTTGGGGACCGCTGAACTAAAAGGAATAATAGACATTAATACTAGTGTTTAATTATTTCACTTTTTGATTAAGAGATGTCTCCTATTGAAAGTTTGTTGAAAAGAGGGCTGCAGTCTGAATGAATGAATTTTCATGCTGCCACTGTGAAGCTATAAATTTAAGGTAGAGGTTCAGGATTACATTACGTTACCCAAGTAATGTAACCCATGATCAAATCAGGGAATAAATAAAAAGCATCAGAAACTTACATTATATTACCCAAAGAGTAAAGAAAGACCACAAGAACTTGATTTTAAAGGGGGAACTAACTCTTACACATGCAAATGTCTCCCAAAAGAAGGGAGATCAAGCAAGGTAAGTAAAACCATATATTGGGTAAATGAACATAAAAAAGAAATAGGCAACATGTATTATAGCACTACCATTTTGGCTGTTTTCTTAATAATAAATATTTAGAATATTTCAGAGAAATAAAACCAGGAAGGTACCACAAGGCTAATACTTTTTGGAGAACTGAAAACTCTATTCTCTCTCTCTGTCTTATCCCTTCCAGATAATACGTTCAACATTTTGACCAAACGCAACGGATTCAGCCGGCAAAAACAAGAAGTCTATTTTTTACCCATCATCATCAGTGACAGTGGGAATCCTCCAATGAGTAGCACTAGTACTCTTACCATCAAGGTCTGTGGCTGCAGCAATGAAGGCATTGCCCAGTCCTGCAATGCTGAAGCTTATGTTCTCCCTATTGGTCTCAGCATGGGTGCTTTAATAGCAATTCTGGCCTGCATCATTTTGCTTTTAGGTACGTATGAATATTTTGCTGGGAAAGACACAGTGATTAGGTTGTTCAACTGGGATGATGGGGATGTGCATTGAAATCCATTTTTGGACATAGATGTTCATATGGTGACTTGGGTCTGGCCTCTCTTTGGGTGTTCCCACTTCAAAAATGATTCAGAAGAAAGACATCTCACTTATGTTCCCTAAACTATGCACATCTTTTTTCAGGTTTCTGCGTGAGCTTTAAAAGTGTCTCACAACTCATTAACTGAATCCTTGAAGCGAGACTCTTAAAGCAGCCACATCTTTTATTCAAGCTCTCAAGCTGTATCTCTTTTAATGAAAGCAGAGGGGTGCTGTGGTTAGACTTATGTGAGATTCAAAGTATTTCCTCAAAATCATATTCAGATCCCTACCATACCAAAGGTTAATTATGATAGAAGAAGAAAAAAAGTCAACAGACGGAAATGTATGCTGCCTTGATTATCTGGATCAGAAAGATACAAATCTCATGAATAAAAAAATGCACAGTCTCAGGAAGAACTTCTGGGAAAGAAATCTGAGTATAGATTGATTCAACCTAACTAACCCCTGCTGTTTTTTTATGTGCCAATTCAAGTCATTCATTCATTTAATTTCTTCCATTGATGTCCACTTTTCCATCAGTGGCAACCCAGATGCCTAACAGCATTAATACAAATTTAACCCAATGCGAGAGATGCAAAGAACATGAAATAGTCACATAAAAAGCAAGTAAAACATTCTTGAAAATGAGTCAACATTCCATTAAAATATATTTATCAGACAAACTCTTGGGCTTAAATACTCGTCTCTGTCTAGTTGCAAAACATCTACAGTATAAATAAAGTAAAAGAAGAAGAAGACCTGAGTCTGTAGGTGCAAAGCTTAAAAACAGAACTAAAGTAATGATACCATAAAGTTAAAATCCTAGAATTCCCCAGTCAGCAAGAGGCCATTGCTAGGAACTCTGGGAACTGAAGTTCATACATCTGGAGAGAATCCACGTTGGGGAAATCTGATTTAGCAGATAGGTGAACACTGGTCTTTTTCATTCTTTACCCTCCATGTATGATTTTTTTAAAAAATATATAAAAACACACATCTTGTAGTTTATAAGTTCCCTGGCTCTCAGATTTCAAGCAGACTTTTGCAGAGCAGGACTTGAAGGAACCAACAGAAGCTCAGAAATAAATTTGGTTAAAAATATGAAAGAAATATATTGAAAAAGCATTCTTAGTAATGATTGAAATAAATCTACGCTAACAGAAACCAGGTAAAAAGTGTTAGTGTCCTCCGGGTATTTTAAGCACCAACTCTCAAGTGGCATAGAAATATTTAGAACTTATAATTAAAATAATTAGAACTAATAATAATTAAATCAGAACTTCGTAATGGCCAAAGGCCACTCTTGATACAGTGGGATAGAATCATGTGAGCTGGACTACAATTTCTTGGAGTTTGTAAAGAGAGTGTGGGATTTATTCCTCTGGGTGTTCTTGTACCTATATTAACATTTCTAGTAAGTATTGCATCACGATTTCTATGCGTAATAGAGAAAATAGCTTAAAGTTGGGCTATTGATTTCAGCAATTGTGGTTGAAGGGCTATAATAAGTTTTAAAGAAGTACAAGTATAAACCTAAATCTTATGCAGGGAAGTTAAAGTGAAAACCTGAAGAATTATCATCCTCTCCAGAATATAGGATGTAGAGTGATCAGAGGCAAATTCCAGAGGATCACGTATAAACCTAAGTCCTATGAAGAGAAGTTAAAGAGGAATCATGAAGAACTTTCAGCCTTTCCAGAATATAGAATGTAGGTTGATCCAGAGGAAGGCAAAGATTAGGAGGGAGGAATAAGAGGTACAGTATTTGCAGAGGAACCAATTATTTAGAGCGGAAAAAAGCTCATTTTCACTTGATGGATTCAAATGGAGGGTCGACAGTTCTGTGCTCGGGGTGTTTTAATTTCTTCTTGCTTCTGTTTATTTATGATTCCGGATCTTGTATTAGGAGCTGTTGTCTGGGCTCACCATTTTGTGATATTTCCTTTGCAGTCATTGTGGTGCTTTTTGTAACATTACGGAGACATAAGAATGAGCCTCTGATTATCAAAGACGATGAAGACGTGAGAGAAAACATCATCCGATACGATGACGAAGGGGGCGGCGAAGAGGACACCGAAGCGTTCGATATCGCGACGCTGCAGAACCCAGACGGAATAAATGGATTTTTACCCCGTAAGGATATTAAACCTGATCTTCAATTTATGCCCAGGCAGGGCCTGGCACCAGTCCCTAATGGGGTTGATGTTGATGAATTTATCAACGTTAGACTCCACGAGGCTGATAATGACCCCACAGCTCCTCCGTATGACTCAATTCAGATATATGGTTATGAGGGAAGAGGATCGGTGGCTGGTTCCTTAAGTTCTTTAGAGTCATCAACTTCAGACTCAGATCAGAATTTTGACTACCTCAGTGAATGGGGACCCCGTTTTAAAAGACTTGGGGAATTATATTCACTGGGGGAAAGTGACAAAGAAACTTGACAGTGGATTACAAACGTTCACTTTTTTTTCCCAGTCTTGACTTAAAACTCTCATGTAATATTCTAGGGCCACCACAGTTCATTATGACTAATGTGGCTTTTTGTTTAGGGGCAACTTTAGCACCAGTCATCTTTTAAAATCAACTACATCGTAATGTTGAACCAAAAAAAAAGTACATAAATCAAAAAATATATATGTTAGGAGGTCCGAGTCTCGTGGAGTGTGGCGTTAAGTATGTAGAGTGTCTAGAAGTCTTTGGATATTCTATATTCACATGACCACTCTGAAGATGGGGTTTAGAGCTTGATCGTCTTTGGCAACAGGAACCAGTAATGCAATGGAGAAGGTCTTTCCCTTCCTAATGGACTTCTGTAGGACTTTTTTTTTTGGTAAAGATTATCTTCTGAGAGTCCATTAAGAATAAAGGATTTATCTCCCCACTGTCCACCAAGATTCCACAAGGAAAAAAGAAAAAAAAAACATAAAAATTTAAAGCAATATCTGTCGTCTTTCCAATGCTGATTTTTTTTTTTCTTAAAGACAGGATTAATAAAAAAAACCCTCTTGGCCTCAACTGTGCAGTGTCTCAAAGTTGTACATAGGATAATTGTTGGCTGCAAAAAAACCACCACAGACCGAACAATAACATCTTTAAATATTGTGTCAAGCCTTAAAATATTCACATGTTCTTAATCCATTCCAGGGACAGGATTCAAAATCCACAGTTGTGGGGAGGAAATCTGACATTATGGATTATTTTCTAGAAGGATTGATTCTTCTTTGACTTTCATAAGGAAAAAAAAAAAGGAGAAGAATCAATGAAGGAGGATGGACTCACATATATGAAATTGAAGCTGGTTTTATTGCTAAAGAATGCATTTATTTGTTTAATCCTTGAAATAAATATTTTATTGATGTCCATTACTGCTTTTATTTATTAAGGTTGGTTTTTAGAAGTGTATAAGGAAAAAAAAAAAGAACCATCTAAAGTATTGTATTCAGTCCCACTGATAAAAGTTTTAGAATGGTTTCTTCTATATATAGTGAATGTTAATTAAAACATGTTTTTTCAAAAAAAAAAAAACCCACAAGGATTGTTAGCTGTAGAGGAGTAAAAAATGAATGCTCGTGAGTGAAAAAATGTCCCTAGAGGAAATTAACTTTGGATGTTTTTCTATTTATACCATAAACCTACTAACTATGTTCAGTACAAGCACAAACTGCTGGAAGTAAACCAGTTCATGTGAATATTAAAACAACAATAATAACAACAAAAGTCTCTACATTTTAAAAATTCCACACCAAATACCGTAAGGTTTTTCTGCTGTGCTAGAAAAGGATCCAGTGTGTGTGTATATATATTTATATATATATATTTTCTGCTAATGTTCTTAGCTTTTATTTCTTTTCTTCCTTAGAATATTCATAGTTCTGTATGGAAATCTTGTTCAGAGACAACCATCTATGGAAGCTGTCAGCAGCCTCAATTTGTAATGGAAACTTATCATTTAGAAGTAGCGTCTCTATAATAAAATTAAATGGTATATAAAAATCATTTTACTTTTTTTCCCTATTTCTGTTTGGAAGATTTCTTTTTTTAAAAAAAAATTCTCAATGTTGTATTCAGAAAAAAAGAAAGGGGAAAAAAAACAAAGCAAAATACCTGTATTGTTTCCTACTTTGTGGAAATATATATATATTTTTATAAATACCTTCTTTGTGATCACGGTTTCTTTTGGTGTTACCTGCATCTTGCAGAGAGTTGTAATTTCTTTTGAAGTCTTTTAAGGAATCAGTACCTTATGTGGATGTCAGCCAATATATGAATATCCTGGCCTGCAAATAGAAGTAGAATGACTGTGACAAGAGAAACCAAAGGGAGAATTTGTATACCATCCGCACTGACAAAATCACCATCAGTCAATTGCAAAAGGCAGCTTTACTTGGAATACCTTACATCTTGTGATAATACCTTTAAGATTATTATACAACAACATCTGCTTATCCCAGGTCCTTGAGAAGGACTTGATAGATGGACAAATGGCAAATCCAGTCTAAACAACTGACTGACTGTGTGATCAACCATAATAATAAAAGATTCAGAGATGAATTAGATTTTATGAAGACTTGTACACATTCCAAATTCACCCTGTCTAGAATTGCTATGTTGATGCAATGCCAAAACAATTAAACCATAATGTGATTTGACACAATGGCCCAATTTACACACACGCACACACACACAAACATGGTTTGATTGTTTGATTATGTGCCATCAAGTCATTTTCAACTTTTAACAACCACATAGATAGTTTTTCTTCATGTTGATTTCTCCCTAACCTAGTCTTTCTCGTCTTCCAACAGTGCACCCATCGCTACTGTAACTGAGTCCATCCAACTTCCTGCTGGTCATCCTCTTATTCTCTTTCCTTCTACTTTTCCCAGCATTACAGCCTTCTTCAGAGAGTTGGGACTTCACATAATGTGTCCGAAGTAGGATAATTTGAGACTGGTCATCTGTGCCTTGAGTGAGAACTCTTGGGTTGACTTGTTTAATGATTCACTGGTTTGTTTTCTTCAGTGTCCATGTTAACCTCAGGAATCATCTTCAACACCAAAGTTCAAAAGCATTAATACTCTTCCTATCTTACCTTTTCTAAGTCCAGTTCACAAGCATGCACACGTGCATAAAATACAAAGACAGAACATGCCAGACCAAGAGCTTTTGCACCAGAGACAAATTCCTTGTGTGTCTAATAATCTGATCTGTAATTTGCAGATCAGTCACTAAGCATTAGTACTCATAAAATAAATGTGGGAAGGAGGTTTTCCTTAAGGTTCATTTCTCTGATATCTTTGAAGGCCACTAAATAAAGTTGAATTATTCATCTCAAAACATTCTGTTCGATGTATTAAAATGAGTATACATTGCTATACAGTATCGACATGAGTGAGCAACTGTCTATGTGATATGAACAATAACAGTGATGTTAAAATTTATTTTAAAATGCCACTTCCCTCCCACATCCCTAAGAACATAAATAAACTGAAAAGTGGACTATAAGCAGGATCATTTATAGCTGTTTAGTCAAATTAACCGAAACAACATGAAGGGTGTGTTTCAGAAGGGTGAAATAGTATTCCAGCACTGCACTTCAATCTTTTCATGCTTGCTTCAAAAGAAGATTGTTTTGTTATTTAACAAGCAGTCATTATTTCATGGAGTGGAGAGTTCCATATGGTGGCATTATGTTAAAATCTCTCACCTAGATAACTAACAAAAATGTTGCAATATAAAGTGTTCCTCTTGAATGTTCCACTCCACATCTGTGCCCTCTTCTTGGACCTTATATATATTTTTCCACAAATCCCATTTTCCCCTACTGCTCCTTAGAGTTAGCATTCAATGCTCAATGAACGAATTCATTCCAATGTTTACTTTTTCTGAAAGACCCCATTTCTTCAGAGAATTTTCTTTTCCTTCTTTCCATCCTTCAAGAGCTGTGATGGCCCAGTAGTTAGAATGCAGTACTTCAGACTAACTCTGCCCACAGCCACAAGTTCAATCCTAACCAGCTCAAGGTTGACTCAGCCTTCCCTCCTTCCGAGGTTGGTAAAACGAGGACCCAAATTGTTGGTGGCAATGTGCTGACTCTATAAACCGCTTAGAGAGTATTGTAAAGCACCACTGTGAATCGGTATATAAGTCTAAGTGCTATTGCTATCCTCCCTTTGATTTTTTTTAATTTATTTTAATTTTTTTTTTGTACTTCATAAAAATAGCACCTGGAGAACTGAATCTAGTGTTAGTATCTATAACGGTCATATGGTTATGGATATTGGAAGCTCTCACAAGTGATTTTCATTCATGTTTTTTTTCTCTCAGCAGATTGGGATCTCAAAAACATATGAAACCACACAAGTGATTGTTAATCCCATTTTTCCCCCTGCCACAAGAAAGTAAATAAATAACAACACCTATTTTTAATATAGTTCTCCATAAACTATATGCAAATATTTAATCTGGAAAAATCCATACAAATTTCCTTTCCGTGAGAAAGTGCTTTTTTTTAATCTCCTTTTGTTTCTGTATTTGGGGGTTGTGATAATTTGGAGCTTATTCCTTACTGTTGTCAATGTCGAGTAATAACATTAATTGTTAATTATAATAATAAGATAATTAATCAATTGTCAAGGGATCCTGGAGAGATTCATTTTGACTGGCTTGTTTTTCAGTTACTCAACTTTCCTTTGCTCTGTAAGTTCTAAGTAGAGAAAGCCTAATAGGAGTTCTATTTTCATGGTTTCTTCCCTAGAGACTGAATATAGGCCTGCGAGATTGCAGGCCACTGGAGAAATAATTTTGCCATGAAAGATACAGAAGCCACCTTGGTCACCTCCTACTTCAGGAAAACAAGAGAGAATGGAAGTGACATCTTTGTACTTTGTGAAAATGAATAAGAACAGTTGTAAAATGCAAAATGAATGTAAAACTACCTCCAAAGCATTGATAGTAAGTTGGCTTAGAGAAAGTATAGGTTTGTTTTAACTATGGATGAGTTTCACATCCTTGAAAGAGCAAATATGGTGCCTGAATGCCTTCATTGCTCAATGTCCAACCATCCATCACCTAGGACAGGATCACCAACCCCCAAGCTGTGTTCCACTACCAGGCTGTGCTTATTCACAACTGGGCCATGCAAGCGGCGAGCTGAAGGGCCGATGCATGCATGCAGCTGTACTTGTGTGAGTGGTGGGCTGTTGCCCGTGCACACATGTGCACAGCTGAACTTGCAGAAGTTGAGCTGCATGCACCTGCACACCAACTCATTGCTCAAGCAAGTTGACCTGGCGCATCACCAGCCCACCACTCACATTGCCCATTTCCCATCTGCTCCCAACCCCAGGCCACCAAGCTGCAAAAGTTGGGAACCGCTGACCTAGGAGATTCTCTGTATGGGGAAGCTGGGACACAGTAATATTCTTGTAATCTCCCAGGTAGACTATTGCAATGGTGTTTTTATGGATAACAAAAAAACTTAAAAGTAAGGCAGAATGTAGTAGAAGTAAGACCGTAGGCTGGACTAATATTTACGGATCATAAAGCAAGAGGAACTGCATTGTATCCTTGTATATTTAGGACTGGGTTATTGAATAAGTCCTGTCCTAGTATGTTTAGCCAAACTTTCTTTCATTTCTTTGGAATCTCATCTTCTGGATGTTCTGACTATCGTCGCTTGCATTTGGACGTAATAACTATAAACCTGGCCACCTGTTATTTTTCCTTTCTAAAAAAAATCTTTACTTCTTTATTACCATGGGTCGTGAAATATGGTTTCTTTTTATTTCATTTCAGGATGTTATCCTGTGGATTTTATGGCTTATAATTGGCCCTGAGATTCTCAGGGCAGGTGGCAGGCTATAAATGGTTTAATATTGCAAGCCATGTTGGGTACTTCAATAAGCTGA